CAAGCCCGATCATTGGAACGTTCAGGCAGGGTGGACGAGATACTCATACATGGAAGACGGCTCAAGCTATTGCGAGGCTGTCGAGTTCCCCCAGTTCGACGGGAGATCGGAGGAGATGCTCGTATTCGACGTTGAGACGATGCCGGAGTACAGCCCATACGCGATCATGGCTTGCGCGGTGTCCAAAAACGCCTGGTATTCGTGGGTCTCGCCATGGCTATTGGGCCAATCCCCGGACGTTCGGCACCTGATCCCAATTGGTCCTTCGACAGTCCCTCGTGTGGTTGTCGGACACAACGTTTCCTATGATCGCGGTAGACTTCTGGAAGAGTATAGCATCGAACCCACTCAAAATCGGTTCTTAGATACGATGGCCCTTCATATCGCTGTAAAGGGCATCTCATCGCATCAGCGGCCTGCCTGGATTCAGTATCGAAAATCGAAAGAAAAGGACCGGCAACGAAAGGCCGAGACCATCGACTCGGTCCTAGAATTGATCCGCCAAGGAGAGGAGCTCAGAGAGACTGAAACAGATCCTGAGAAGAGGCAAGAACTTGACATACGCCTACGCCAGATGGAGGAAAGCCTCCCTCTTCTCCAAGCTGACGAATTCGATGATGTCGAGGAGGAAGAGGCGTCCACGAAGCGCTGGGAGGATATCACATCTGCGAACTCTCTTGCCGATGTTGCTAAGTTGCATTGTGACATTGACATGGACAAGGGCACGCGCAACGATTTCCTGACATCCACTCCAGAAGAGATATTGGAAGGCATCCAGGATTACCTGGACTACTGTGCGAGTGACGTTGGCGTCACTCATGCAGTATTCGCCAAGACACTGCCTTCCTTTCTCTCGGCATGTCCTAGTCCCGTCTCTTTTGCCGGTGTGCTCACCATGGGATCAAGTCTCTTGACAGTGAACGAGCAATGGGAGGCTTATCTGGAGAACGCGGAACGCACGTATAAGGAGCTAGAACAGGGCGTCAAGCGTCGACTCCATGACCTTGCTCACGATGCAAAGGAGATGATGCAGAGCGAGAAATGGAAAGAAGACGTTTGGCTCAGTCAGCTAGATTGGACACCAAAAGTTGCGAGCAAAACCCGAGGCGTGGTTCCTGTACAGGTGCGCACAATATCGCATATCCTGTTTGTATGCCTGATCATCTCTAGGATACCGAGCAACTCGCACCTGTGGTCAAAAGTGTCTCGCCTCCAGCGTCCGTACCTGCATGGTATGCTGAATTTCTCAAACACGGAGCTCTATCCAAGCGCATAATAAACGGCTCGTTGAATCTCATCCTTGAGATGTCTTACGATGGCCATCCTGCACAATTCACCCAAGCTGAAAAATGGCACTTTGTCGTCGACGGTAAGACGACTCGTCTTCCTACATCATCAACTAGCAAAACGGCGACTATGCTCGGTCGGTCCCATGGAAGTCCCGGTATGAACGGTGGGCGATTATCTTCCCGTTATCCCGCCCTTGCTTGGGACGTTATCAAAGGGAACAAGTCAGCTCAGGTTATCGAGCAGCTGGATACGTTGGCCCACCAAGTGGCAAATCTACCCCCGGCAGATTATGAGGGCAACCCTTGGTTCAAGCAGCTCGACTGGCGGTTAGTGCCCAAACCTGATCATCCTGCCAAAGTTGAGGACAAACCACCTGAGAAAAAGGCGGCGAAACGCTCGAAAAAGCCTTCGCCCACACCGGTGTATTGGCCTAAGTGGTACTGGGAACTTACTAGGCCAAAGAAAGATGCTCCTCCAGGTACGCTCGATCTGACTGTGCGCAGTCGGGTTTCGCCACTGCTCTTGCGCCTATCCTGGCAGGGCTGGCCGCTGTTTCATTCCCGAGAACACGGCTGGGCATTCCGGGTGCCAAGCGACGCGAATTTCGAGACGAGAGCCACGTCCTTGACGTTCAAGGAGCCCGCAGACTCTTTGTTGCACAATGCTATCCAGAAGGGCTTCGTATTCTACAAGCTCCCGCACAAGGATGGCGAAAAAGCCAATGTGGGCAGCCCGCTCGGCAAGACGTTCATCAAATTTGCGCAGGATGGCACGCTGACGAGCCCTGGGAACGAGGCGAAGGATGCGCTGGACATGAACGCGCAATGCAGCTACTGGATCAGCGCACGGGATCGTGTTCTAAAGCAGATGGTCGTCTGGCAGGACGAGCGCGTTCAGATAGGCGTTCCGCGGTCGCAGGAGCCCGGGAAGAAATGGGGCGTCATCTTGCCGCAGGTCATCACCATGGGCACGGTCACCCGCCGTGCGATCGAAAAGACGTGGCTAACTGCGAGCAACGCCAAAGCCAACCGGGTAGGCTCTGAGCTCAAAGCGATGGTCCGGGCGCCGGATGGGTACTCCATCGTTGGAGCCGATGTTGATTCTGAGGAGCTCTGGATTTCGAGTGTGATGGGCGACGCGCAGTTCGGTCTGCACGGGGCGACTGCGATCGGGTGGATGACGCTCGAGGGTACGAAGGCTGCTGGGACCGATCTCCATTCGAAGACCGCGAGCATTCTAGGGATCTCGCGTGATCAGGCGAAGGTCTTCAATTATTCGCGGATCTACGGTGCGGGCATGCGACACGCTGTGCTTCTGCTGCTGCAGTCCAATGCTGGGATGCTGCCGGAGCAGGCGCAAAAGCTGGCTCAGAATCTGTATGCTTCGACTAAGGGCAAAAACACCCACCGGCCGGACTTGTTTGGCCGCAAGTTCTGGTATGGCGGTACTGAGAGTTTGGTCTTCAATAAGCTGGAGGAGATTGCGCTCTCGGATCGACCACAGACGCCAGCCCTCGGATGTGGTGTGACGTACGCGTTATCAAAAGAGTATCTGCCTGCCACCTTCGGCGCAGACTACATGCCTTCACGTATCAACTGGGTTGTGCAGTCTTCTGGTGTCGATTACCTGCATCTTCTCATCGTGGCGATGGACCATCTCATCAAGAAGTACGACATCCACGCACGCTATCTGATTTCCGTGCACGATGAGCTGCGGTACCTAGTCAAGGATGAAGACAGATACAGGGCTACGCTGGCTTTGCAGATAGCCAACCTCTGGACGCGCAGCCTGTTCGCGTACAAGCTTGGCATGGACGACCTCCCGCAGGGCGTGGCGTTCTTCTCCGCAGTGGACATCGACAAGGTCCTGCGCAAAGAAGTCGACATGTCTTGTGTGACGCCCTCGCAGCCCGTGCCTATCCCTCCTGGGGAATGCTTGGATATTGCACAGGTTCTGGCCAAGACCAATGGAGGCTCGCTCTGGGTTGATGGTGCGCCGATGTTAGAGAAGGACGGTATAGAATCTGGAAGCAGCTCCGTCGGGTACCGTCAGCCTGACTGCCTGACTCACCGCGCTACCAGCGCTGCGTGGCTACGGGCGCAGGTCAGCTCCGACATTAAAGAGATCAAGAGGCTGGCCTACGATCACAAGGCTGTTGTTGAGATTGTTGCCAGAGAGAAAAATAAGCGCAAGCAGGCTACCGGGCTGAAGAGGCTGAAGAAGATCCGGGCGCTTGGGGACGGTAACGGGGTAGACTGGGCAAACACTGTCGAGCAGTTGCTCAAGTCTCTAGACGTGTTGTCATGATGTGAACCTGGTCGATGTCAGCATAAATTATTGCTTTATTGTATGCACTAGTAAATCTCTTCTCGACACATACTGGCGTTATGTTACATACTTATATAGTATAGTAGTTGACTGTAATGTCCACTTTTGGCGCTCATTTACCGACGCCCCCAGTCCAGAAGACTCCGCTGACGACTCCGAAAATGCTTTGTTCGCCCGACGCAGTAGCCTGTGGCGGGGAGCCAGGAAGCCCCGCCGGTGTCGACGTC